TGATTCTCCCCTCTACTCGAACAAACCCTCATACGCAGTATCCCCAACCCAATGCTACCAACGTACAACTTAATTATTGTAATTCTCTTAAGGAATAGCGCACCTCAGCAATATATAAAAAAATAATAGAATTAATGAGCAACGCAGTGAATACAAACAAACTTAAACCAACTTTAGAGCCATGGCCCTTCGTGAATGCATTCCAAAGAAACAGCTGCCAAATACCGAAATTCCCAAAACCGGTAAAACGTCAAAACAATTTGAAATAATTCAACTACCAAAATTGACTAACAAACCTTCCAAATATGAAACCCGGCATGAAACAAAAGTAAGCAACGTTTTTTATAAAAATAATAATTATAACTAACTTATTCTAACCCCCTTTAACCTATTCTAAAGTACACTACTGTTACCAGAGCCCCAGATAAAATTAAAACGCATACATACTGTAAAGAAGACCCAGGAGCACCCACATCATTCACCTACACTCATCCACCCAACCATTCATACCTATCCCATATCACACATATCGAAACAATAACCAAAAGGTAAATACAGTCGTAGCCTAAAAAATATACCAAGATCTTCCTGGTTATAAACAAAACCAAAACAAACGTACTCTCTCAGGCATGGCAAATCAACACCATGAAGCCAGCGACCTAAAGACCCCAAAATAATAATCAAAACATAAAAATACAATACTCTTAAGCCGATATGCGATATACAATGTGAACAGGTGTGTACTCAATAAACTAAAATTATACTTATACAGTGCTTAACTTATTTCTAATACATAAATCATGTGGCGTTACTATTTGTAACGTTACACACTTGTTTGGTACCCTTTGTACAACACATACAAGATAAAAATTGAAAATGTCCAGCGAAAATTCTTAAAATTTATTTACTTTAAAACTCAAGGAATTTATCCTGAGAGGGGATTTAATAATGATGTTTTACTGGATATGTTTGGTATTATCAGTCTGGAGAGTAGGAGGGTAATCTGCTCCATAAGGTTTGTGAGCATGCTGGTTCAGAATAGGATTGATTGCATGTGTCTTTTATCTATGTTAAACTTTTTAATTCCAAGACTATCAGCAAGGACGCATAAAACATTTTATTTACCACCATGTAAAACAAACATTATGCTTAGATGCCCACTATATATTATTTGTGATAATTTTAATAAAGTGTCTGAAAAATGTGATATTAATTTTGACAGTATTAATTTTATTATTAACTGCGTCAAAGAACATTTAATTTAATAATTTAGTGAATAATTGTTTTCTTTTGTTGCTATTGGAGTTTATATTTTGTAAATAAGAACCTTTAGTAATTAAGTTTGGATTCCTAAATTTACATTAGAATATTTATTTTACTATTATATTAATTTTTATTTTTAAATTTTCCTGTAATTGGATTGTTAATCTGTTGGGAAATAAAGAATATTATTATTATTATTATTATTATTCAATCAAGTTGAAGGAACCGCCACGGGTGCAGTCACGATATCGCAACAACCACAGTTCAATGCAGCTGATCCGGAATTATAGTTTTCGATCGTTGAGAGGTATTTTGAAGCGTTAGGCTTAAACGACAGCCGTAAACAGTACCTGAGTGTGTTATCGGCCATACCAACACTTTACGCGAACGAAGTGCGCGATATCCTAGTGCAACCATTAGGCGAGGAACCGTACAAAAATTTGAAAGAGCACCTCGTGAAACGATTGTGTTCATCTCAAGATGAAAAGACACGCGAGTTACTGGAGAACGTGGTTATGGGAGACGAGAAGCCGTCGCAGTTTCTCCGTCGACTACAAGCTCTCGCAGGGGCAGCAATACCGGACACCTTGCTCAGAACGTTGTGGATGCGTGACTTGCCCGAAAAGATCAAGCCTACGATAATCACCGTACAGGACAAGTCTATCGCCGACATTGTTGAAGTTGCGGATACGGTATAAGGGTTATTACCACCGCGCTCGACCGTCGCAGAGGCATCACAACCTCCATCAGCAGTAGAGGCCGGCGTGCAACAAGCGGTCCACGTGCAGCAGCTTCGGTTCGAAGTGGCTGAGCTGAAAAGGCTACTCGGTGAGATATACGAGGCACCAAGCTCCCGAGGGAGGTCCCGAACCCCGCATCGAGAACGCTCACAAAGCCGGTCCCGCTCGAGGTCGAATTGGCGAGGACCGCGCCCAGCTGGCATGTGTTGGTACCATTGGACTTTTGCGGAGGATGGGCAGAAGTGTACGAAGCCTTTTACTTGGGCTCCGGGAAACGAGAGGGGCAGTCGTTAATGGCGGCCGACGACACCCACCCGTCAATATCTCACCGTCTTTTTGTGCGCGATCGCGAGTCGGGATTACGATTTTTAGTATACAATAATGCTGATCTGTGCGTATTCCCGCGTAAGTTCTACCGGGGGCAATGTAAAAAGTCCAGCTACGAGCTTTCCGCGGCCAACGGCACACGCATCGCGAATACGGCGTAACGACGCTCACCCTCAATCTTGGGCTGAGACGAGACTTTTCGTTGAACTTTTTTGGCACATTATGCACTACTTCCCTATTTAAGGAGCGGGCGACTGCTGGACTCCGTTACAAGACCCACCCTGCAAGGTGAGGTGACTGAATGTCTAGCATCAGGAATATCACAGGTGCCCCACAGTTTCAGGCTATTCTACGAGAATTCCCATCAATAACACGGGCCGACGGAGTTCCAAAAGCAGTCAAGCACCAGACAAAGCATCACATCATCACAACGCCTGGTCCTCCGGTAGCATTGAGACCGAGACGCCTTGCTCCGGACAAGCTCAAAGCAGCCAAAAAAGAGTTTGAAGCAATGCTCTGACTTGGACTCGCAAGGCCCTCCGAAAGCCCGTGGGCAGCACCCCTGCACATGGTGCCGAAGAAAGGTGACGAATGGCGACCTTGTGTTGATTACCGAGGTCTCAATGACAGGACGCAACCGGACCAATACTCGGTGCGCCACATACAAGACTCCGCCCAAATGCTGCAAGGAAAGGTTATCTTTTCTACTGTCGATTTAGTGCGCGCGTTCAATCAGATACCCGTAGCCGAGAAGGACATCCCCAAGACAGCCATTACGACACCTGCCGGACTATGCCTACATTGATGACATCCTAATCGCCTCTTCATCGCCGGAAGAACATTTGGATCACCTCAGAGTACTCTTCGGGCGCCTCCACCAGTACGACGTCGTCATCAATCCCAGTAAGTGTGTATTTGGAGCATCTGAAGTCCAGTTTCTTGGCTACCTCGTTTCAGGTTTGGGAACTCAACCATTACCAGACAAAGTGGAGGTCATCCGGTCGTTTCCCCAGCCACATACGGCCAGGAAGCTACGGCAGTTTCTAGGAATGGTGAATTACTCCGAATTTCCAATTGTATGAATTATAGCCAAGGCGGCACACCAGCACACCAGTCAAATGGACGCCGGAGGCAATCACAGCATTTGCGACGTGCAAGGAAAGCTTAGCACGAGCTACTTTACTCAAACATCCCAAAACCAACGCACCGCTAGCCATCTTCACCGACGCATCGGACATTGCAGTCGGAGCAGTGCTGCAACAGTGGTTAGACGGCAGGTGGCAAAAAAGTTTTTTAATTTTTTCCTTCAACGTAAAACACAAATAACGTGCGTGATTTAGCTGTGCAATTGAACAAAATTTGTCGAGTAAGACTTCTGCCTTCCTCTCTTTTTTATAAAAAAAACTACCTATAGGTAGATAGATTTATTTAATAGATTTATTTAAAAATGATGTATAATCTGTGCTTTTTAGCATGCATTCGAAGTCCACCAGAGGGCGCGCGCGTTGCGAAACCCCGATACTTCTTTAGCGTATAGTAATTTATTTTCAATAAAAATTTTGATATACTGAGGCTTCTTGATTTCTAACAGTTTAAAAAAAAACATTTAATGATAACATTTCGAATGCGAATATTCAGAAACGGTTGAATTTAGGTATATGATTTGTTAAATGAATTATGCTCAGAATTTTACAAGGAATCGAAATCAAATTCATATATAGGGTGGTCCATTGAAAATGAACTTTTTGTTTTTCCCTGTACATTGTTCAATTTTCAAATTTTTTTATACGTAGAAAAAAAGTATTTTTAGTACCTACATAACCACACTTTTAAATGTTTTAGGACACTTAAAATAAAAAAGTTAAAGGGGGGCGACATAGGAGATCACCCTGTACATAAAAATATTTTAAGTTCCTAAATGTGGGTTTTAGAAACGTTACAACGTTTCTAGCAATATAATTCTCCAAAGTAGTTTGAAAGTGGGTTTTGTGTATTTCGGTCGTATTTTTGATATTATGACTTTAAAAATGTATTGAAAAGTTTTATTTTACTTTTATAACTACCCAGCTAACAAAGTTGTGTTCAAGTTGATATCAACGCGAGCTCAAGACTTGATTTTTACACATCAAGCTTTAAGGTCAAAAACATCTCAAGTTGATTCCTCATTTGAGCTCAATGGTATATCAAACCTTGATTTTCGATTAAATTCGAATCGGATGCGCGCATGCACTGCCTATTTTTGGCAGAATAAGTTATGGGTTTTGAAAGGCAAAAATACTGTTTATCCGCAATCGGCAGTAAAGTAAAACTAAAATTTAATATGCACCTCGGCATTAAAGTCATTTTTTATCACTCACCTGGTTATTTGCTTTAATTTCCACACTCATGATAAAAAATTCGACTTTACTGCCTTGATACATAAATAACTATTATTTTATGCAATCATCTAAATAATTATCAACTTAAATGCTAGCATCAATTGATAATAATTTTTTTAAATTTGGATATGTTTGCATCAAATCCTTTTTCCTTTCAAAACCCATAACTATATATAGATAATCTTGCATAAAATAAAATAGGCAATTAAAACACAAACAAAATTTATAAACAAAATATTAAAATATACAAAAAAACATTAAAATTTTTAAATTTGCTCCTCTTCAACAGTCCTTATTGACTGTATACAAAACTATAGTTTTGAGGATTATCATTTGTTGCTTCACTTTCTGGTGTTTTCTGCTGTTTTTTTAATTTGTATGTTTCACGTTGTCTGGTGGTTCTTAATGCTTCTTGAATGTGTGGCGAGAACTCTTCATTTGATGTGGGGCCTTCAAAACAAGACCATGTGCAGCAACTGTAGACAGAAGAAATTGCCAACTCCATTGTCAAAATATTAGTTATCGCTTCTTTAAGACCCATATTTTGTATCAATAAAGGCCCTTTTATTATTATTTCCCAGAAAGGTGAACTCCATTGTCAAAATATCAGTTATCGCTTCTTTAAGAGCCATATTTGCAAACACTTTCTGAGTTTTGGCACCAAGATTTTTAGGTAAATGAACTGCACAGCCATTCCACGCTACTCGGGAATTTTTGTAGCGTCCGTTACAATCAAAAATTGTGATTAAAAGCTACCGTAATTAAATTAAATACTGTTACAATAGTTAATATTGCAAACATGTTTATTATGCTTGTAATAATTAGGCTTCAACTTATGAGCATAATAATTATGGTAGTTTTACTCACAATTTTTGATTGTAACAGACGCTACAAAAATTCTCGAGTAGCGTAGAATAACTGTGCAATAAAATTTTATCTTTAGTATAAACACTGCCACACATTCAACATATTTCAACCCACCAGACTTTTTCTTTTATTAGGTGTTTCACTGGACTTGAACTGGTTAAATTCTGCCCAATTATTCAATGGAAATCCCACCAACTGTTGGATGCTGGAAATGTTTGGGTCAAAACTGGTCCTCTCCTCCAAACAATGCTTTGAAGAATTTCTCTAAGAGAAATAATGCAGTTTAAGTATTAGAGTACCTGCATTTTTAACAGTATTTATTTACCTTTGATTTGACAGAACTTCAGCAAGCTCTTGGAAGTATTCTGCTTTCCTCTACAGTTTGAGCACAAGACATAAAAACATAAAGATAAAGAAAGAAATTAAAAATAATAGTATATTATTGTACATTGTACAATGTACAAGATATAATGCAGCCTATTACACAAGAGGATGAGGTTTGCGTCTCGAGCCGTGAGGCGTGAGGTGGTGTGTTTATTTACAATGTTTTTCTTAAGAATTTTTAAAAGTAACTAGGATTTTAAGTTTACTTACCAATTTATTTTTAATATTAACTTTCACGACACAAGAATATTTTGCGTATTGATGCACGAAAAAAGAATAAAGCCAGTAAAGTAGCCCGCAAACATAGAGAAAGGTCTATGCCGCGAAAGCTTTAGTATTGTAAAAGGGTTGCATGCTTTGAAACCTTAGGAAGGACCCTGCCGAATCTCGTTAATGTAATAAATTTAAGACAGAAGTCGCCATTTTAGAAGTCCGATTATGAGTCATTTTTTCTGACAGATGATAGTTTGTGTTTGTTTATTTACCTATTTAGCGTTTTTGGTTAGTTTAATAGCGTTTTTTTGTTGTTTATTAGCGCTTATGATTTGTTCTTTGAGTTTGTGTTGTTTAATAATTAAACCTTGCAAATAATTAAACTAGCTATTTTCTATCGTTTACACCTTCCTGAGGTTTTTTATTCAAAGATTACATGCAATTGCAATTAATGGCAGGCTTTTGTTATGGTTTAAAAATATAATAATAATAATAATATTTATTATTATTAAAATTATATTTTTAATAAATATTATATTATTTAAAAATTAAATCCTTTGCTGGTTCAATTATTATTATATTTTTAATAATTATTATTATTAAAATTATATTTTAAACCATTGCAAAAGCCTACCATTATTTGATAGATATGCATTTACAATACTAACAGAAGTATACCCATAGGTATTTTTTATTTATCCATCCTATACATTTAGGTTTATGTATTTAAATTTATAAATTATGACTAGAAACCTTGAACCGACTCAAGGGTTGAGCGCACATTGATTTCAACCTTTGATTTTACCTCAAACATTGAAATCAATGTCCCAGACTGCAAGGTTCGAAAATATTCCAGGAATATACCCTATCACCTAGGAATAATCCGCTTCATTCTAGGAATATTCATTGGGAATATTCCTAGAATGATCCTCTAAAACTTCCAAGCATCATTTAAGAACATTCCCAGTGAATATTTATTGGGAATATTTCATAAAATGATCCCCTGTTGTAAATGACCGATTAATTCCTGTAGAAACCAATTGGTATCAATGGGTCTGAATTGGACTTACTGGATTTAATTGGGCGCGATATAAAACAGAAATTGGTTTTTACTAGTATTTTCCTTTATGAAAAAGTCCAATTAGGATTCTAATGGTTTTTAGTGGTTTCCAATTGAATTCAATTGGGCATTCCCAGTATAAGATTCAAAAAATCTGCTAATTGATTATTTCCAATACAATACAAATATCGCAAGAGGGCTCTCGTGTAGCTGCGCAAAATCAACGAGGTTGAGACGCCATCATAATCAAAAGTCTTTGGACGCCATTTATTAGCGGTTTTCTTTATTAGTCGATTTATGTGTTAAGTGCCGAGTGTTAGTAGTGTACTTATATATTAAAAAAATGTTTATGTGTAAGGTTTAGGGACAATGGCGTAAGAATGGTTGTCACAGCGGACAAAATAAAAAAAATTGTCATAAACAATATCGACTTCGACCAAAAATTATTATAACCGAGTAATTTTAATTATTTTTTATTACTTTTTTGTGATAGTAAGTTATAGGTATGTATCAATACATACATAATATGTAATAATGTAATGTAATGTACATGTCATAAAAAAAAATAAAATTAGAAAGAAAGAAAAATGAGAAAGAAATAAAATTACTCAGTAACAATAATTTTTTTGTCTCTTCTGTGAAAAATAAATTCTGGTTTTTACCCGGTTATCCTTCTGGGATCTAAAATTATTTTTAAATGAAAAATAAACTGGTAGGTATTTTCTAATCCAAATTTAAAAAAATTAATTGGTTTTAATTGGTTGGAATGGGTTTGGCGCTATGAATTGGTAATTCAATGTGCATTTCTATTGGATTTAGCCAATAGAGACAAGCATAGGCATGGTCCATGCCAGTAGCGTGCAAAGGTGATCGGGGGCCCCCCCGCAAATTTTGAGCTGGGGCCCCTTTGTCACTTATACCACCCAATGTGGTTCTCTACGGGGCCCCCCTAAGGTCGGGGGCCCCCCCGCACCGCGGGCCCTGCGGGGCCCGTCCTGCACGCCACTGGGCATGGATTGGTATTTCCCAATCCAAGCGCTGACTTCATTGGAAATTACCAATAGGAATTCAACTGGAATGAATTGGTGCTTCATAGCGCCAAAACACATTTCAAACCAATTACATATTTTTTATTGGATTCTATTGATCATTTACAATAGGGCCTCTCCCACATGTATAATTAATTAATATATGAGCTCATCTTTCTGTGCCTACATTTTGTAACTAAAAAACCTGTATACCTATTTTTACTTAAAATAATATATTAGGTATAGGTAAGGTGACCAACTTTCTAAAATGAAAAACCAGGACACAACACTCCCCTCCTCGCCCTTCCAAAAAATAAACTAAATTTATTTCATTCAATGTTTATTATTTGAAAAAGAGATGTTTTAATAACATCAATAATAAAAAAATAGTATAAACCAGGACCAAATCTGCAAAACCAAGATAAAACCATGTACTGGCCAGTACACCATTGAAACCAGGACACATTAGCAAAAACCAGAACCTGTCCTGGGTAAACCAGGACGGTTGGTCACCTTAATTATAGGTATGCACACTTACCTACATATAATTGAACTATTCTAACTTTTTTAGTAGTACCATACACATCCACAACAACATGTAGTGGGGCTGAAGTAAAAGGAATTCTTTTTACACATGCACCCTGATTTTCCCCATTAATTATATAGTGCATGTCAGCTTCTAGATCACTTGTAGGTATATACATAACTCCTATTCGACTCCCTGTATCTGTGGGTAATATAAATTTTGAAGATTTATTTGGTCTTAAGAGTCCAATGTGGGTATTACTTAAATCTCCAACTTTTAACTTATCAACTCCTTGTCGAATGCATTGTTTGCCATTTTCATTCCCATATTCAAAAACACTATTATGTGCTTTACTAATTCCATAAATCCATGATGTACCAATATCAGGTAAGTCTGGTAAAGCATATGGAGGAATTTTTCCAGTATGATAAATTGTTCGAGGGTCTAATTGCGTTAATCCCAATCTCATGTGTCCACTCCAACCTGATTCATTTTGTTCTATTTCCAAAAGAAATATTTCTCCAGGTAATAATGGCTTTTCACTAAATGTCACTGCATTTGCAAAACTTTTTTTTCTATATGCAACGGTGTTATCTTCAGAGAGAACAATATTTTCACCATGATAGGGATGAAATCTAGTAATTAAGTTTTTAGAGCAGTTCATTTTCAAAGTTTATTCTTATTTGTATTGTATAAACACATTTAAATTTTAATTTTCACAAATCAAAACATAAACTTAAGACAATCAGACGATTTATTTAAAAAAAGAGTAAATTTGAGTAAGCGTTCAGTAATAGATTCTTTAATATCCATGCAATAAGTTATTATTTTTCTTCGGTTCAAGAACACCAACACAGAACACCAAAGAACACTATAGTCAGCAGTGTGGCCAACCGTAGCGGAATTCCGCTACGCATAGCGGGATTTAAGCCTGAATTATAGATTGCCTTCCTTCCTTCCTCCCGTAGTCGTGCCCGTACGATTTGTGCGTCCTGTAAAAAGTCAATTTATAGATTTCCGTGTAAAATTCCGTAACCATGCGCGATGACAACTAAAATGATTGACATTTGTTTTTGTTTATATTCTGCGTTTTACCCATTGTTAGTGCAGTGATCACAATTTCAATTGCCCAGCCAGCTTGTTGTATACTGCCCAACTATGGAGAAAGGCAGTAACTGCTAAACAAGAAATTTGAGGGAAATTAGCATAAACTACATTTTTATAAAAAGCAGTAGGTATTTAACTGATTTATTTAACTTAAAAGATAGTTTACTGCATTTCTTTGTTGATTTAAGATACAAAATGTCCATAGATTTATCATAGCACAAGAAAACGCATTTGTAGTTACTGCCTTTCTTCATAGTAGGGCAGTATAATGAAAAAAAAAACATCGAACAAGACGTTGGAAGACTCGACCACTTTACCAAGACAGGGAAACTACGGGGTTTTACAAAGCAACGTTTTTAAAAATGAAAGACATTGATCATAAACAATATCTAAATATCCTATTTAGAGACACAAATTATTTAATAAACTGAACACCTATCTTAAATAATACTAAACAATCATATCAAATATTTTGTGCCTACGCGCTGTCACCCTACAGCCCATGTCCATAACAAGCACTGTGATTGGTCATGTCAAGGACCTTTACGGTGAAAGATAAAACTTAACAATTTCTACGGGAGGAAGGAATGCCGTCCTTACGGTACGGAAATCTATAACTGGCACTACGATTTAAATAAACATTTTTGAGGTAATTGTCACCATTAACATTGCCCGTTATTAATTTTAATTAAACTTAACAATTATTATTGATACTTTAAAATATTAAAATAACTTCAAAATATGATTTAGTTAAGTAAATATTTTATTCTTTGATTTTTTTTATTACTATAATTGCAAAATATTATTACAAAGTATTAAAAATTCCTACACGGGAAATGTTAAAGACGACAATTACGTAATGTTCATCTTCTACGGGAGGAAGGAAGGAAGGAAGGAAGGAAGGCAATCTATAAGTCAGGCTTTATCAAGAGCGGCGTAGCGGCGGTGGAACAAAATGATGGCAAAACGTAGAGGAATTTAGTTCTTTTTTAAATACGTATTAATAAAACATCTAAAACAAATTGTTTATCATAAGTTAATTTTTTTATTTTAAATGTTATCATTAAATCTAGCTACATCTATAGAATAACATCAGTAAGCGGATAATAATGAAGGACAGCGCAAAAATTGATTTAGCAACCAAAAAAAATGTTGTTCTACTTACTTAATTAATGAAAGCCATTTAAACAAGTTTAATCAATTTATGAACAAATTTAAAAAAAAAAAAGGCAACCGAGAGCGAGCGAGAGTCTCGTAACCAAAGAAAACGTTACGGTTTTTGAATCTAACCCCGACCAGTGTTGCCAATTCTATGGAATGCTTCCCCACCAAAATGCACTCACTAAACCGCTAGATAACCGCCAAATTTGATATGGGCAAAAACCGCCAAATAAATCATGGCCAATAAACTATGTGTTGGTGTATTATCAAAACAAAATATTTAAAAATAATAGAACAAAATAATTTGTATAAAATTACTTGATAAATTGTTTTAGTAAATTTGCATCATAGAACCATATACCTATAGTTATATAGTTATAGGTATATGCATAGAACAAACCATGCATGTGCATATTAAATAGAAATATTGACGTTGACTTTGTCTTTGTCTCTGTAATCTCTCATTGTCAAATTGTTAAAGAGCGTCCACCAAAGACAGGTAGGGACCTTTTTATTCAATCGTAGTGACCTACCGTAGGAAAAGAGCCTACTATCCCACACAAGCCGGCAACGCTGCAAAAAAGCAGAACTACCAACAGAAGAAAAATATAACCAGTTCTAACAATTTTCATGTAAGTTTGTTACATCACGATATCCCTTTGTTTAGTCTTTGAATACAATAGGTATTTAAAAGCATAATAAAAAGTAAAACTAGATTTTACACCCGATACAATGTTTTATAGTTAAAATTCCCGTCAGCCGCTAAAACGAATAAGTTGGTCACCAGATAGGATTTTAAACCGCTAGATTTAGCGGCAAAACCGCTAAATTGGCAACACTGACCCCGACGCGGATTAGTCGCACCCGGTGGCAGATATTTTATCCTTAACCAACGTCCCGAGTCCGCCCGCTTGCCGAGTCCCACTGCAGCGCGCTGTCACACTGTAAATCGGTATTATTTTTTCGAGCGACAAGACTTTTACAATAAGCTCGGTAGCTCGATGGAAGGGCGCCTGCTTTGCATGCGAGATATACGGGGTTCGATTCTTGGTGCCTCTACAACTTTTTTTAATTTTTTTTTAAAGAAATTATATACCGAAATAATACAATGTGGCCTTAAAAGCATTTATATTTAATTTTACATTAATATTTTAATTTATTTACCTTTCCTCATAATAATTTTGCAACAGTTATATAATATAAAATGTAATTAAATGAATATTCGTTGAAAAATTTGTACTCAATGGGGCGGGGGGGGGGGCAATGGGGCGGGGTCGGTTGGGTTGGGTTGTTGGGTTTGGGTTGGTTTCGAAGCTTCGCAATTTTTCTGTACCTAGACGTTAGTCACTGAGTTCGCAAGCGCGAGATGACTCGGTAAAGCAGCGGGACTCGGCAAGCGGGCGGACTCGGGACGTTGGTTAAGGAAAAAATATCTGCCACCCGGTGTGTGAGAACCAGGGTTGGGTCAGTAGAAAACCTTAGGTAATTTACCTTGGTAGAAAACGGTAGAAAACTTGTTTTCGACTTGCGTCGAAAACCTATAGGGTTTTCTACCTACGTAAATTACCTTATTCGACCTTCTCCTTCCACTTCTCTATAATTGATAAAAATTTGCCCTCATGCCAAAAATTATGTTGGGGTCTCCCAACCAAACGTGGCCCTTTTTTTCCCACCATAATAATGTTAAAAAACTCCAAATAACTTCAAATTTATGGTAGGTGTCTGATTTTTCACAACATTTAACAAATCATAATAAACAACAAACTTGCATAACCTCACATTTTTTGATATTTGACAGTATTCTACTTTTTTACGTTTTCTACCGTCGAAAACGTCGAAAAAGGTTTTCTACATGTCGAAAACAAAAATGTAGGTAGATACCCAACCCTGGTGAGAACACCAGGGTTGGGTCAGTAGAAAACCTTAGGTAATTTACCTTGGTAGAAAAGGGTAGAAAACTTGTTTTCGACTTGCGTCGAAAACCTATAGGGTTTTCTACCTACGTAAATTACCTTATTCGACCTTCTCCTTCCACTTCTCTATAATTGATAAAAATTTGCCCTCATGCCAAAAATTATGTTGGGGTCTCCCAACCAAACGTGGCCCTTTTTTTCCCACCATAATAATGTTAAAAAACTCCAAATAACTTCAAATTTATGGTAGGTGTCTGATTTTTCACAACCTTTAACAAATCATAATAAACAACAAACTTGCATAACCTCACATTTTTTGATATTTGACAGTATTCTACTTTTTTACGTTTTCTACCGTCGAAAACGTCGAAAAAGGTTTTCTACATGTCGAAAACAAAAATGTAGGTAGATACCCAACCCTGGAGAACACTAGCGTCTACGTCCCAACTGCAACTTCGGTGCCCTGGCGCTGTTGCCTTTCAATATGCAATTGTGTGGAAAATTTAAATATTCCGCCATTAAAAATTACAGATTCTTCTAGCCAGAAAATAATATTAATTAAAATTATTATAATTAGGAAATTTATTATAAATCAATGATTGTTTTATTAAGCATAGGCATATACATATATATAATATATTATATACATAAAAAATAAAATAGATAAATGTTGATATTTTTATTTGAATTGGGTTGTATAATAAATTTCCTAATTATAATAATTTTAATTAATATTATTTTCTGGCTAGAAGAATCTGTAATTTTTAATGGCGGGATATTTAAATTTTCCACACATATTATATATATATTGAAAGGCAACAGCGCCAGGGCACCGAAGTTGCAGTTAACACTAAACTACACAATCTGATATCAGTTTATTTTAAAAATATTATTTTTAATGCAACAATATAAGGCTCTAACAAATCCTAACCAAACTATTATTATTTTAGCCCGCATTTAAAAAAACAGCTGTTCTGCAGAAATTTGGCAACGCTGGCAGGCACTCGAGTTGCGGTTGGGATGTAGTCAGCAGCAGGGTTGGGTCAGTAGAAAACCTTAGGTAATTTACCTTGGTAGAAAAGGGTAGAAAACTTGTTTTCGACTTGCGTCGAAAACCTATAGGGTTTTCTACCTACGTAAATTACCTTATTCGACCTTCTCCTTCCACTTCTCTATAATTGATAAAAATTTGCCCTCATGCCAAAAATTATGTTGGGGTCTCCCAACCAAACGTGGCCCTTTTTTTCCCACCATAATAATGTTAAAAAACTCCAAATAACTTCAAATTTATGGTAGGTGTCTGATTTTTCACAACATTTAACAAATCATAATAAACAACAAACTTGCATAACCTCACATTTTTTGATATTTGACAGTATTCTACTTTTTTACGTTTCCTACCGTCGAAAACGTCGAAAAAGGTTTTCTACATGTCGAAAACAAAAATGTAGGTAGATACCCAACCCTGGTCAGCAGGGTTGGGTATCTACCTACATTTTTGTTTTCGACATGTAGAAAACCTTTTTCGACGTTTTCGACGGTAGAAAACGTAAAAAAGTAGAATACTGTCAAATATCAAAAAATGTGAGGTTATGCAAGTTTGTTGTTTATTATGATTTGTTAAAGGTTGTGAAAAATCAGACACCTACCATAAATTTGAAGTTATTTGGAGTTTTTTAACATTATTATGGTGGGAAAAAAAGGGCCACGTTTGGTTGGGAGACCCCAACATAATTTTTGGCATGAGGGCAAATTTTTATCAATTATAGAGAAGTGGAAGGAGAAGGTCGAATAAGGTAATTTACGTAGGTAGAAAACCCTATAGGTTTTCGACGCAAGTCGAAAACAAGTTTTCTACCCTTTTCTACCAAGGTAAATTACCTAAGGTTTTCTACTGACCCAACCCTGTATATGGTGTATTACGTCACGTAATACACGTAATTTACGTGTATTACGGTTGGCTACCGGAAGAACCAGCTTGAAGCGCGGTACATTTAAAATTTGAATTTCAAATTTCTTAATGATTGTTTTGTTTTCTCGGGTAACAATGTGTCACAAATTGTGACTCACAATGTGTCACAAGTAAAAAGTAAGGTTAGGTCACATTATGTGACCTAACCTTACTTTTTACTTGTCTGTTTAATCACCTTCTTTATCTCTGTGTTTAATTCGGAATCTCTGGTTGTGTTTATGCTGCCGTTATCAAAAAATAACCTTGTTTGTTGTGTTTGGCTGCCGTTTTCTTGTACCATGGAAAGTTTGTACTCCTGTTTCTAGTCTTCGTGTATGGAACTTATCACAATCCACATTGTGGACCTTATGGTCTAAATTCTTTTGAGTTGAGTGTTTATTTTTAACAATGAGTACTAAAGAATCCCAAGTTACATTTACATTTACAAACGTAAATACGGATTAAATATATCAACATATTATATTATATTTGATTACTTATTTTTAAGGATATAATTAAGGAAGCCTTAAAATCTCAATTTTCAAACCCCAAAAACAAAATAACTGAGGAAACTGTAGAATTAATTTGTGATATTAGTAAAGCCCTAGTTACTGAAGCAGCTTTACGATCAGCTAAACAAGCTTCAATGGAAAATAAAAACTTGGTTAATTTAGAACATGTGGAATCAATATTATCACAGTTGGTAGGAAAATTATTTTATTACCAAATTATATATAACTTGTATTTTATTTTTTAGATGATGGACATGGTATAGTGTAAAAATAAAAAAAATGTGCTTCAAAATACTATTTTATTTTGTATAATATACTGTAAAGACTTAAAAATCTAAAACAAATCCATGTCATTTGATAACCCAATATCAAGAAAATCATCATCATAGGCCTCGACTACTTGCCTACTCTCCTCTACACTAATAACCTCAGTTTTACCACTGTCCAATCCATCACCACTATTTTCATGGCCATCTGTTTCAGGGGTTGGAGGGGGGTTAACAGGGTTTATTAGGTCCTCTAAATGTTCAGTTTCCCTCCTATCACGATTTGCCTGAGAGGCCAGCAATTCAGCTCTTGTCAGCAGGTCTGGTATAATTTTATTACGTGAAGCAGCTAAAAATAATAATACCATTTTATACAATTTTCCACAAATAATGAGCAAAAATCAGGAGGTAATATCTGATTATAATTTAAGAAAACGTATGTAAATTTACTTTAATTAAAAAATTTTAAATTCAAATAAATTTATTTGAATTTAAAAAATTTTAATAAATAGTTTTAGAGTTTAAGGGTTAAAAATTCAATTGTATTTAGTTTATTATTTTTTAATATCTATTTATATAAAAGGATTAAACACAATTTTCTAACGTTTCAAAATGGTTAAGATAAAGTTTTGTTTTCTTGCTGAAACTGTCAGAAAATACATCAGTCAACTATTTTAATAATAAAGCTCCTAGATGCCTTGTTTATTTTGTTTCCATAGCGAGACTTCTTATATGTGTAATATAAAGCACAGTAAGTAGGAACACAGTGTTGAACTTGAATGCGTAATAACTTGAAATGTTCGACGAAAACTTCTGTTTAAAACAAAAAAAAATTGTATTTTTGTAAACTTAAAATAACACTTTTCCATTTTTGGAACACCTTGTACACCTTTTTTTATAAATGGCAAACAATTTTGTTTTATGTTTTAAACCTATTTAGCATTGACAACATGATTGTTATCTAAAAATTGGACAATAATTGAATCGGTGAGAACAGTACGTCCAAAAGTTAAAATATTGACAAATTATTTTATAAATTCAGTTTTAAGTCTGATTTATAGATTGACTTTCTTCCTTCCTCCCGTAAAAGATTAACAATACGGGAGGAAGGAAGGCAATACGTCAGGTTTTATAGTTCAAAATGCATTTTGTGAAAATATAATAATCATATTTTATAAAATAATATACATAAATATTCTCATAAAAATGCATTTTAAACTTTTAAATTGATTTAATCTCACTGATTCAATTTAAATAAGGCAGTTGAGATTCACAACTGTATTTTCTGACTATTTGTGTCATTCACACATACTTCCACACTGTGTGGAAGTATGTGGTCATTAACTATCAATATTGTAGATTTTTGGTAAACACCAAAGATAACCCCCCTACCCAGACCGCAAAACACCATTCCCTGCACATGTATTCCCAGGATTACTCCAAGCGTACCAGAATATTCCCAGGAATATTCCTGGCGTAATCAAATCCACTTTTTGGTTAACCCAGTAATCATAAAAAGAATATTCCATGTAGCGGCATGCTTAAGTATTGTTAGGTGAATGTCCTATAATATAATTTGGGGATTATTCCTAGACCTTATTTATGGCCACTTATACCCAAAAACTTAACTTAACTAGCCATTATTAGTTACTGAGCAGTAGAGGTGATAAACTATCGATAGTTACTATCGATTGCACAGCCACACAAAAATAAAAAGTGTTGTGATCTGGGGATGGGACATATGCTTTCCTATGGATTTTGACGCGCTGAATCCGAATCCGATGTCAAAATTTGTCCTCCAGGTCCGCGTTTCAACCTAACCTCAAAAAACGTGAAAAAATTAGTATTTTCTGTTCTGGGGATGAGGCATGTCGATTCTTATCCCGTACAACATTCATGAGTTCATGAACCACCTCATGTCATGACTTCACGGTTTTGTGCTCGTGTAGAACTCATGATGAGTTCAGAGTCATGATAAGTTCACGGCATGATCCGCCGTGATGTCTTTTGAATAGTCGCGCTTCGAAGATCTCCACCGGCTGCGCATATGAATGCGCATGGAACAAGCTGTGTCATCTTTGCCCGATTGTTTTATTTGTTTAAGTGGTTGTAATATTCTGTTTCTAATAATTATTTATAAAAGTTTATAATTATAATAAGTGCATAAGATCGTGTTTGGAAGAAGAAGGTAAGTTTCGTTTTTTTTTGTTTAATTTAAACATGTGACATATATATGTCCTCGCTTATTAAATTATTTGACAGTCGGTTTGTTTTCAAATTTACATTTTACTTATTCATGAATTTATTAAGTATTATATTGGTTTTTTGTTAACAAAGTTAATAATTATTTATTAAATAATAATTATTAATAATTTAACCTCAAAATATAACCTAGGTTTTTTTGTAATGTCTGCAAAATTGAAACGTGTGAAATACGAACGTTAATTAAATTTATGTGAAATGTTTATCTGGGTTTATAATTTATGTGCGTGATTAATATAGGCATTAAATGCAAATTTTGACAATTAACGGCAAGAAACTTATTGAATAATGACAGCACAGCTGAGTGCAATCGAAGCCAAAATTTATACCTGTGGTTCGTAGAAATGCATTGTACTATTTTCTATTTTACAGAAGCTGCCATGGACTGCACAAGGTCCATCAGACATGTCCGAATTTAAAGAACATGTAGAAGAGGTATTTAGGACTACAAAACAACGATACCTTGCGAAACAAAAGAACCATGGCTTGCAAAAAAACCCAAGAGTCAGCAGGGACCACATAAGTAATTTTTTTTACAAAATTTGCTTTTTAATTAACTAATAAACAACTATAAAAATATGCAATTTGTTTTTTAATTTTAAATTTTTTTACCTTAAACAATAATTGAATCTCTCGTTTCAAAAACGACATAGGTTACTTTTTTACAAAATTCGCTTTTTACCATGAAACTCTTTTACATGTTATGCATTCTACATGTAGAAGCTGTTGTGGTAAAAAATGAATTTGACTTGGTCGTTTTAAGAACGAGCGATTCAATTGATTATTGATTTAAAAATTCGCGGGGATTCCTGAATCGTATGCGCATGCGCGCTACCCAATTTTTGGATCCTGGCTCATGACATGACCACAACATGAGATCGCTATGAGGACTCATATGTATGCTTAAATGAAGTCATGGCATGACTTATAAATCATGACTTGACGTCCATATGAGTACAATATGAAATCAAAAATGTTGTGCGGGATGTTTTTCGATGCATTGAATGTAAATAATCCCTCAGAATCGATCGCACACGTTGTTATTTTGACTCTAACCTCGAAAAAACGCAATAAAATGAAATATACTGAAATTGTGATATACTGGGGTTCCGAATCCCTGCATCGTAAAACACTATCTTTCTGTGCCTGCCATGACGGCATGAACGCCGTTTACCCAGGGACTCAGTCGGTATGGATCCGTTGCCCACCGTCACCACGTGGAGGTGCCCTGGTTACAGGCACAAGCGAAAAATGCTAAAATGGTCAGCGATATCATTATGTTCACCCATTCTTCTAGAAATCCAAAAATAGAGAGAATAAAACAGTAAATTTCATATTCATTTCGTTGTAAAGACATTGCTTATCGTGTTAAAATTTACCTTTTTACAGAATAGTAAAATCTGCGTTAGAAGATAAGGGTTATATAAGGCCAGTTTAGGTTAAATTAGGTGATTTAAGGTTAGGTTAGGTGAGTTAAAGTTAGTTTACGTCAACTGTAAGAATGAGACTCCGCTGATATAGGCTTTCAAAAAAAAACTAGCCTTCAAGGCAGTATATCACAATTTCAGTATATTTCATTTCATTGCGTTTTTTCGAGGTTAGAGTCAAAATAACAACGTGTGCGATCAATTCTGAGGGATTATTTACATTCAATGCATCGAAAAACATAAGAATCGACATGCCTCATCCCCAGAACAGAAAATACTAATTTTTTCACGTTTTTTGAGGTTAGGTTGAAACGCGGACCTGGAGGACAAATTTTGACATCGGATTCGGATTCAGCGCGTCAAAATCCATAGGAAAGCATATGTCCCATCCCCAGATCACAACACTTTTTATTTTTGTGTGGCTGTGCAATCGATAGTAACTATCGATAGTTTATCACCTCTACTGCTCAGTAACTAATAATGGCTAGTTAAGTTAAGTTTTTGGGTATAAGTTTTTTTTTGTGTGGCTGTGTTGTTGAAGACTATCGATCTATCGATTGGAGGTGATAAATATCGATAGTTATTATCGATATATATATTAGGGTGTCCCAAAAAAAAGAATATTTTTTTTCTTTTCTTCTCTTGTGAAAATATGTTGGTTTGTCATGTTCTAAGAGCCCTGTCAAAAGATCAGCACCATTAAAAAATTTTTAGGGGTCGCTCAAGATTTTTAAAAATTACCAAAATCGTCAAAAATTGGATTTTTTTTAATTTTAATTTTTTTTCTCGTTCCGATATTATTTTTTAATTTAAAAATAATAATGATTCTGAAAATTTCAAATTGATATTTTAATTTCTAAAGGTCGCTCAAGATTTTTTTAACTTTCAAAGTAGAGTATTTTGAATGTTTTCAAGCGACCTCTGAATATAAATATCAACGAACTTTTAGCGACCTTTAGAAATCAAAATATTGATTTGAAATTTACAGAATTTTTATTATTTTCAACCAAAAAAATAATATCGAGACGAGAAAAAGAATTAAAATAAAACAAAAATTCAATTTTTTACGATTTTGAAAATTTTTAAAAATCTTGAGCAACCCCTACAAAATTTTTAATCGAGCTGATATTTTGAAAGGGCTCTTACAGCATGATAAACTAACATAGTCTAAGAGACAAGAAAAAAAAATATTCGATTTTTTTTGGGACACCCTAATATATATGTATATATATATATATATATATATATATATATATATATATATATATATATATATTAGGGTGTTTCAAAAAAATCGACTTTTTCTTTTTCTTCAAATGGTCGGCAAATTCTTTCAGAGGATGTCAACACAAAGACCTCGTCAAAATTTGAGCTTTTAATTTGAAGATTTAGAGGTCGCGGATCGCAATTTTCTATTTCCCATTTAAATAACATGGGAATTTTTTTTTTTAACTTTGAAATTTTATACGTCTGAATCAAATCAACTTATGTCAAGGATCATCTTAGATTTTTATAGTAAATTTAACGCTCTACAAAAAAGGTCTCTTATCATTTTTCTATAAATTGATTCCTTCCAGAGTTATTCGAGGCCAAAGTTTTATTTCCATCGAATTTTCGCGTTTTTTTAACATTTATGGTTCAATTATCATTATACGGGTGT